ACAATTTAAAAATAATGAACATGACCAAAAAAACAATTTTAAAGTTGAGGCTACTTATGAAACTTCAAACAGGAATATGACGCTTTGTACACTTTCAATAAGAAGTTTCTGCATTTAGCCTAGTGACGCATGTGACAAAAGCAACTGGAAAATATAGATGTTCAGTAAAAAAACCATCCAGTAAAATAGTTAAACTCGCCTGGACTATTTTTGAAAATTAGATTATTCAGTAGACGACATATGTACCGCGATTCGTGAGAAGTAATGATCCAAAAGCATCCAGAATAAAACATGCAATATGGTAATTAATTCCAGGGTCCTTGGTGCCGCTAACGTTTTTGTCACTCGCTCGAATCAGAACAATTGAATGAATCCAGATATTTGTGTGGTTACCATTGAACAAGCCATCTAAAACGACCTTATGTTTGCAGAAAACTTATAGCTGAAACTCACCGTATGTCTTTGTAGCTGTGTCATCCTTGTTGTTTGGCAATGGAGCTCGAGAATTGGAAATTAGGCAGGCAATGGTAGGAAGAAAAGATATTGTAGGATAGTGCCTACTTTAAAAACAGAATGTGTTAAGTGAAAGAACATTACGAATCAGATCCAGATAACTATTTAGTCCTTGATTGCATTGTTAGTCAAAGTATATTTTGGTTATTTGCAGGTCATATTTGCTACAGCTTGATGTTAAACATGTTTGTTTCTCTGAAGCATGTTAATGCTATTAAAGCTTGTTAACGAACCATCAAAGCTAATTAGTTAATACAGATGACCAGTTTTTATTATCGATTGAGCTAGTAAGTTATGAGAACTAATCAATATAACATCACGATAATGCATATGAGCATTAAACAGATGACTATTAGAATAATGGGTTAACATAAGGAAATATCGATCGAGAAGGTTAAAGTGAAAATACGGATGAAGAATAAGAGGTTTTGTTTCATTAGTCGAGCTCACTGATGTAGAATTATGGACTACTATGATATTAGCACTGCTCTAATAATAGACCTAATCCTAAAATTGTAGATTTGTTATGATGTAACTGCCTAATCTGTAAGGTCTTACGTGGGAGTCACATCATCATCTACACCAACTCACTACATCGTAACAATTACCAATACATGATAGAGAACAATCTTAGGCTAGAGATGCGACAATATATTTAATATGAATAAAAGATATAAGGTAACATTTAGCAGGGACCACGCCTGCATGGCCGATTAACTCCTGTTAATTCAATTCATTATCCCCGCCTTCTCCATCGTTAGGTATTTCCCAGCGTTAAATGTTGAATGTCTATTTTCCATATTGTCTCGTGTTAGGGCCCGATGCCACTACACTACTCTCCCACCAGAATCAACGTGAAGTTGGTTCGATACCAATTTAAGTGGGATTGTCGCGCGCCGGAGGTTACCAAGTATAATAAGAATCCTCCGGGTATTGGTGAGCTGAAAGGTAAATCAAAAAGAAGGCCACAGCATCTGGTCGGGAAATACGTGTCATAATTTTAACATATCTGATTGCATGCTTAACACGCTTAAAATGAAAATTTGAGGTGATTATTTGGGCTAAGAAAAATGAGATTACAATAATAATAATAATAATAATAATAAAACGCAAGATGCGTGTTAATAGCCGTTGGTTAATAAATTAACTTATAGGTAGTAAGCATTTCGTGTCTAGAAATATTAAAAGCAATCAATATTGTAGAGATTTTAATATTGGTATTAGTTTTAGTTGAAATTATGAAATCAAATAACGTTTATGTCGGAAAGTTGTCCATGGGTTGATTTCTAATTGCATCTGCATTAGTAGGGCTAACTGAAAGAACAAAAGTGTTACCGCGGAGAAGAATTTCAACTAGTGTTCCAGTTAGTTTGATACGGTTTATTTAGTTACGGGGAGATTTTCTCGACCTCATTTTTACTTGACCGTGATAGAATATCCTGATACTACTAACACATATGAGTGGTTATCAAGAAAAGACGAGGATTGGCAAAGCAAGGACAGCATTCCTTCAATTAAAGAACATATGGAACTCAAAACAACTCTCAACCAATATCAAAGTCAGAATCTAAAATACCAACGTCAAGGCAGTTCTACTGTACGGAGCTGAAATGTGGAGAACTACAACAACCACCATCATGAAGGTACAAGTATTTATCAGTAGCTGTCTTCGCAAGATACTCAACATCCATGGGCCGGATACCATCAGCAACAGCCTTTTGTGGTAGAGAACCAACCAGCTTCCAGCTGAAGAGGAAATTAGGAAAAGACGATGGAAATGGATAGGACATACATTGAGGAAATCATAAAACTGCATTATGAGGCAAGCGCTAAGTTGGAATCTTGAAGGAAAGAGGAAAAGAGGAAGGCCAAACAACACAATACGTTGGGAAATAGAAGCGGATATGAAAAAGGATTAATAATAACTGGAAAGAGCTAGAAAAGATTGCCCAGAACAGGGTTGGATGGAGAATGCTGGTGAGCGGCCTATTCTCCTTCATGAGGAGTAACAGGCGAAAGTAAGTAAGTAAGTAGGTAAGTAAGGACCTTTATCAGATTCAAATGGATATTCTTATCTTTTAACCTGCGTAGACCGTTTTGCTCGATGGCCAGAAGGAATACCCATCAAAGACACTACTGCCGAAACAGTGGCCCTTCGTCGAATGATGGGTAGCAAACTTTGGATGCCCAACAACAATCACTACAGATTGTGGACGTCGGTTTGAATCTGAACTTTTCCGTTGTCTAACCGCAAAATTAGGAATCACTCGCTTCCGAACGACGGACTACCACAAACAAGCAAACAGGTTATTAAAACGCTTTCACTGACAACTAAAAGCGTCAATATCAGCCTCAAACATTTCTCAGTGGACTGACGCACTTCCACTCGTCTTATTAGGTATTCGCAATGCAGTGGAAGCTGACATTGGATACACGGAGTCTCAACTCGTTTATTATACGACCATTCTACTTCCAGGAGAAGTCGTGAATCCTTCATCCTCTTCGACGAACCCGGATCTAAGCCCCTACGCGAACAGGCTTGCAAACGCGATGCGTTCAGTTAAACCTGCTTCCACTCGAGCACAATCAAATGATGTGTTCGTTCAACCTGACTTACGATATAGTACACACGTCTTCGTACGTCGAGACTCGCATCGATGACCTCTCGAATCAGCATACGAAGGACCTTTCAAAGTTCTTCAACGCGAATCTAAGTACTATATAATCGATAAGAACGGAACCAACGAAAGCATCGGCATCGATCGCCTCAAAGCCGCGTATTTAGAAGGAAACCATATTCACGTCGATTTTCCTTCAATACAGTTGCACGACACAATTCCTGCACTTATAATACCTCAATCGACAGCCGACACACACGTTGATACGTCAGCGGTATCAGAAAATAAACTCAAAACAACGCGAAGAAGAGTAAGATTTCCAGAACATTTGAACGATTACTGCACGTAAGATACAAGTTTACATTTTATATCATCTCGATTTTCCCTTATGCTTTATATAATTTTTAAAAAAAACGCGAATTTAATATACTTATATATTTCTATTTTTTATTTCAAAAAAGAAAACGAAACAAAACAACCGATATTATAAAAATCCTTTTTTTAAGCTATTACATGAGCATGAGTTCATTTTCCTTTTTTTCTCTCGCTTTGTTTTTTCACGCGCGTACGAGTGTATTTCGACATGTACCTAAATATTTTTTTCTTTTCCAGGACGGCTAGAAAAGACGATAAAAAGAACGATGAAGTTTGCGAGAAATGGAGATCTCCATTTTACCTTTTCTTTTTTTACTATATTGTACATCATGGTTCATTACAGTAAGGAAAGACGACCCGACGCTGCTAAACCTAGCAAGCTGTAAGAAGAGTGTTCACCAACGAAAAACTCGTTGGGTTTAAACATCTGGCTAGCCACGTCTTAGGGTCATCACTACCCCACTAGGGGGGAGTGATCTGTAGCGGTAAATAATTCCCCAAAATAAATAGCTCTGTAAGTTTTCGACATTGTACGCTGACCACAGTTTTAGTGGACTCGTCTAGCTGAAGGCGCTCGGTTAAGCATCCGCACCAGATCACGTGTGGGAACGCCGTGCTCAACATCTGCCGCAATCGCTAGCCAGATTAGTTCAAACGATCCTCAATATATTGATAGCTTATCAAATATGTCCTCGATCCCCTCGCTTCTGTCTTTTGATTTCACTTGGTGGGTGCGCTTCATATTAGAAGGTGTTACTCGTTAAAGCGTTGTCGAACTCCGAATACCTGTGGCATCTTCAGACTCGTTATAACTCTGAAGGTTTGCCTTCCAGTGAAAGTCCAGTTTCTCCTTGAAAATATTCATTGATGGAGCTGATATTACTTGTTCGGGCGAGACGTTCCAGTCATTGAAAACTCGATGAGAAAAACGGAACCAAGCTTTAAGTTAATAAGGACGGAGGTTTTTGAACCTACTTGCTATCACTTTAAAGATTATTATTGCTGGATGGAGCAAAAAGATAAGATATATTAACACTCAAATCGTAATTAAGGATACGAAATGCCAATATAAGATCGCCTTGCGTCCTACGAAACGACAAGGGGATAAGGTTTAGGTCAGTAGTATAATGGTAACTATTAACGTGTCCGATGAGCATGAGCACACTCTTCTTAAAATTAACTCCTGAGCCCCAAACTCGAGCTTGTAGATTACCAAAGTAGATAATCTACGTCAAATGATTGGAGGCGTACTCGAGTTAAACGGGAATGGTGTGACGATTCAGCTGACTAGAAATCACACAACGTGGTCAGCATCTAACATGGATTATTCCTTCGACGTATCAAATTGCTATGGCTGCCTCGAAGACCATATAACACAAAGGATGTTATTAAGGAAATATATTAATTAGAGTGAGTACAGAGAAGATAGTGAGACCACCACTGTATGAGCTAGTCCATGACATACACTCATGATCCGGTTTTAAGGATTTTCAAGACACGCGCGGAGAGCGGCTTATTCAAAATGAGTTGTACAGTTAGGGGGAAGCCGAAGTCAGGCCGTACTTGGAAAACAGTTCGTGCTGCAAAGTAAGCACACTTTTCGATCAAGGTCAAAACCGTCATGTCTGTCTTGGGTAAATTTTGGGTAAACCGCTATAGTAGACTTCGGGAAATGGAAAAATATCCGAAACTTCCCCACAACGGGGACATCTCCAAAATGTATGGAGTTTCCCCTACATTTCCAAAGAATCTTATGAAATTGGGAAAAAATGTCATATTTCTTAGGGAAAACCTCGAAATTTATTTCAAGTTCTTCACAATAGGGAGGTTGGGGAAGGTTGCTTTTTAGCGGGAGTGCACGAGATGCTTGAAAATACCTGTTAATGATTTGTTGACGTGGTTAAAAACCAGTCACGATCATACGAAATCATCCATCCTTCACCTTCTGCAGTTCTGATCGTTATTTTTCCCATTTTCGCTTCGGTCTTCAGTTGTCAGGGATTTTTGTCGTTTTTTCTCTCGTCAAGTTCATTTTTCTGATGTTCTAAAGCATAGTGAATCGCACACCAACATTTTTTGTCAGCTTATATTCTACCTTTTGTTTGATTCTTCAATTTTCTTAATCACATTGAACTGGTCGCTTACTTAATCCCAGTTGGGTTACTGAAAAACTTATATTAATGAAATCGGTGCATAATATGGTTTTAATTGTTCTTCTGAGCATTCCTGAATCCTTAATTACATCATATTACAAGAAAATTTATCTCATTACGATGTTGTAGAAATAATTGCTAGTTTCTAAACATACCAGACTTATCTAACTACTAATTTACACAAATAAATCAAAGCTACTCGATTAATCGCGATTGTTTCGGTCGAGCAGAATGATATGACTAACGAAGTCGAGTATATATGGGGTAGTGACAATTGTTCGTCGATGCGACTAAAACTGCCTATTAAATTCCAAAAGTGATGTACACGTTGTTGATTCGAAGGTCCTGAATCCCGAAATGCGTAAACGTATCACTAACTAAAAGTCACGTGGCTGGTCCTGATTCCTGACTTTCATTGCTGTTTAGATTGGTGTTGATAAGTTTTTACTAACTTATTTGGTGGGACAAAACAATTAGTTCCAACACTGTCATAATTTTCAATCCGAGAAATCCACCCATAAAGTTTGAACGTTAATGTACAATTCGAATCGACTAGTTTCGTAAACTGCTACCATGTTTTAATTTATTCATCCTTATGTTTGATCATATTTCTCACATTATTATATGTAGTAACTTTATATGCTCATTGTGTTTCCCAACTGCTTGATCGGGTGGAGATTCACAATCATGCCTAGTGAACTGTCCATTTTTCCTGAAAGATTAACACTCAATCTCTTTAGTTGATTTTTGTATTCATTATTTAAAATGTATCAAAAGCGACCAGTTATCTTTGAACAAGCATGCTTCGCAACCGAAACACAAAGGACTTTTGTGTGGCTTACTTAAGGCTTGATATGGATCTAAATGAATCAACTGGCTTTTAAGTAGTGTAGACTAGTGAGCACCAAACAACTCTTTATCTAGATTTTGTTAATGAATTTCCCATCAGTTGTCCTACTCCCTGAGTAGATAAAGTCGTCTGTATGATCAGATACTCCATTATTTATTTCAGGAATATGTATCGATACAGAGCAGCCCAAGAAATCTTACGCTTTTAAATGCAAAACATGTCCTAAACTAGATCAAATTTCTTTCCAAGATCCCATGACATTATCATTTTTTTTGAATGACAGAAACATGTTTCCTACTTCGTGTCATTAAACTAAAAACAATGTCTGTGACAAAGTGAGGCTAGCATAGATACAATAAATACTTTAAAATCTTTCTTTGATTGGTTTGTTTAAATACGCAACGTACCTCAGTAGATGTCGATTTTGACCATAAAATCCTAAAAAATTCTGCGAAAAAAAGATTCTGGACAAGTTGATGACTTTTAGTCGATCTATAAAATCATCATTACATAGTAATTAAGTAGATGTGACTTTCTAAGTATTGTGTCAATACAATACCGAAATTTTATTTTTAAAGGTTCAGCATATGTATATTACAATTATTGTGAAGGCGGTTAATAGTTAAAGCAATTCACTATCAACCACTATGTTTACTGTAGAAGCCCCACTTCGCAAACTTATGTCTGAGTAGTTAAGTGCTATCACTAGACATTCTTATTTAGGACATAAATATTGAAATAACTATACTCCATACACTAGTAAGGGAATGTAATTATGGAGAGATAGAAAAATACAAACGAAAGGAAACAACCCTTATATAAAGATGAATCAACCAAGTGCATGAATCTGTACTCTTTGTGTTACATCAAGAGTTAATGTTTAGGATGTCTCCATTCTTCTATTTTCTTTTGGGATTTAAAATTTTAATGAAGTAAGAACGACAGCGAAAGCTGTATTAATTTGAATAAAGCGAACTAATTCTATGAATTTTAGATTTAATCTTAGGGTGTTATTACTGTTAATACATTTATTATCCTACCATACTAAAATTGGTTCGTTAATTTAAATTTATTTAGGATTTACTTTACACGTACTAATTTTCACCAAAGTAGTTCTAGCTGGTACTAACAAATGTTCCCGAATGCCCTGGTACGGCCGAGAGTGGGGATAGTCAACTCTCCCTCACGAATGGCCCTCATATAGCCACGTGCATACAGTTATCGACAGGGAAATCCTACTCACTACTTTCTTTCGGCGGTGGTGTTGTTTACGAAGTTGAAAGGACAAGTAGCAAATGTTTGGCTCTTAAACAGGATTGGTGGATATGAAGGATCCGTCGATGAGAATTGGAAAACCCTGATTCGAAATCAATGGTGCACATGGGTTCCATGATCCAAAGGGAATAAATGGCATATGAACCTATATTTGGTCATTGGCTACCATAGGACTGCATCTTATGACGTTGCTCCACTGTTTTGTAGATCAGATCTTTATATCAAAGGTTCGGAGTGTGGTCCCTCTAATAAAACCACCAACTTTGGTTTGGGCATCCAGGAAGTATCACAGCCCACACACAAATCAAGTGACTTGTGCCCTCTTGTACCAATATCTATGTGTTCAAATACATAAATAATACTAAAATTTCAGTCATATATTGTATCAAATTAAAATGGTTAATTCATTGCAACTCAGTCAGTCAGCTACAATGTAGGACCAAGCACATATATGCATCGGTCCAAGTTGCCATACCTCATTAGCACAACAAGATGAACAATAGCGGTATTATATAAAAGAAAGATTGTATATATAAGGAGATAGTACAGGCATAAACAATTAGTTCGTAGAATGATAGATATGAAGCGATTTCAATCTCATAGTGTAAGGGAAGACAAAGAGTGTATACACCGACGTCATTGTGATGGATTCTGAGCTATGTCACCAAGAGTCTCCAACCTTTTAAAATTAATTTACATAAAATAGATTATTGTACTTGTTCCTAATTTCTATGGTAAAAATATTATTATTCATATGTATATATATATATATATATGTATATATTTTTTTGCCCCCAAATGCCCTGGTACGGCCGAGAGTGGGGAGAGTCCGCTCTCCCTCTCGAAATGCTCTCACATGGCCATGCGTATATAGCCTCTGCCAGGGAAGTCCTACTCACTGCCTTCTCGTGGCGGGGGTGTTGTTTACGAAAATGAGAGGACGAAAAGCGAATGTCTGGCGCTTTAACCGGACCCCAAACCAATGGTGCACATGGGCTCCAGTATCCTGCGGGAACAAATGGCGTATGAACCAATCGTTGGTCACCGGCTACCATGGGACTGCATCTCCTCACGATGCTCAACTGTCTTGTGGGTCAGACATTCAGGTCGAAGGCTCGGGGTGTGTCCCCCTAAGAAAACCACCTGCTTCGGTTTGGGCACCCGAGCAGTATCACAGTCCTCACACAAATCAATTGAGAATTGTGTGGCGCATATGTATTTGGTGCCTCCCTGTACCTATACTTATGTGTTAAAATAATAATAAATAATAATGATTTTTATTTAGACATAGTGCAATTAAAAAAGACAAAGGTATTCGTACATCATTTGAAATTCGTAGAAAAATTGAAGCAGAAATAAAAAAAATTCGTAATGAATCTATTGAAAGAAAAAAAGCTAAAGATGAATTAAAAAAAATTAAACGTTTAAAAGAAGAAGAGAAACGTCAACGAAAATTAGAAAATGAACGTCGTTCAGAAATTGTTGTACCGGTTAGTTATTACACTTTCATTATTATATGATATATGCTATTTTTTTAGATAAGTAATCCTGCAAAATTAAAACGTTTACGAAAGAAACAAATGCGAACAATTGTAACACGATAAAAAAGAAAAAGAAGAAGAAGAAGAAGAAAACAAAAAAAACAAAAAAAAAAGAAAGAAGATTATTTTGTTATAATAAACTTCAAAAAGATATAATATCTTTGTATGTTAATTTATTTGTGAATAAATTGAGACTGGAGTTATTAACAAAGTAGTTCAAAATAGTCCTAATTGGTATATATATATATATATATATATATATATATATATATATATATATGGAACACTACAATTTATGATCAAAATAAAATGATCAAGTTCACATCATCTATTAAATAGTGTTTGTTTCATTTGAATTATGTCTTAAAGTGTTTTATAGTTCTTTGTGTATGTGTGTTTGTGTGTGTGTTTCTTTTTTAAGGTGACTGATTTGTTAAACTTAGACAGTTTGATTGTTATTTTCGGTATCATTAGAATTATTCAAGTGAAAGTAATTAATATCAAAAGGCTTGAGTTTTTTGTTCTATTCTGGTGTACATGTCTTTATATTCATTGTCGTCGGTTTCATTGTCTTCTAGTCAATTTTTTTATCAATCGGTCAGTCAGCTACAACGTAGGATCGGGCATATATATGCATCGGTCCAAGTTGCCTTACCGAATTAGCACAACAAGATGAACACCGAATTCATAGAAGTAGTTAAGTCAATGGTGATAATATACAGAAGAAAGATTGCTTATAATAATATAGTACAGGAAGAAAGATTTAGTACGTAGAAAGAAGGATATGAAGCAATTTTAATCTCTTAGCTTAAGGGACGATAGAGAGTGTATACACCTACGCCATTGTGATAGACTCTGATCTGTGTCACCAAGAGTCTCCAACCATTGGTTGCGATGGTCATGCAGACCTCAACCATGTAGTCTGCATCTACCGCCATGGCTCAGGCCAAATGTTAGTGACTTCAAGCACTGATGCCACGTTTTGGTTTGGTCGCCCCTAACTTTCTTCCAATTATCCCTAACACTGGTTAGCATTGCGCGCCGTGGTAATCGGTGTTCAGGCATACGCAACACGTAGCCCAACCATCTCAGTCGATGAACATTCGTAACCTCATCAACTAATTTACCATCATTCCCTAATACCCTGCGTCTAACCTCACTATTATTTACTCGGTGATCCCAGCAGATGCGAGCAATATTTCGAAGGCATCTGTGGTCGAATACTTGTAGCTTACGAGTATCTTCTACCTTTCCTTAATGGCCACGTTTCGCAGCCGTAAACTAGAACAGAACAAACTGTTGCGCAGTATACTCGTCTTATTACTGATAGACGGATATCTCGCCTTCGCCATAGGTGACGTTAGTTGGCAAAAGCCAAACGTTGTTACTGACTGACTGAAAGAGTTTTTGCAACCTTTTCATAGCTCCAGATGCCGACTATTATGGGACCGTATGGATGATTCCCTCTACTGTATTCATTACCATTTTAGAACCGCTGAACCTTCTTTCTAATCTTGACATGATTTTGAACCATGTAAAAGAAGTGTATCCACTTTAATTGTTTAGTTTTCTATAATATATGTTAATTCTATACTAATTGTTTTCTGATTGACTAATATTTCTCAAGATCACATAAAGATTTGTTCAAAGGTTGTCCACTTGGATTGTTAAATGAGTTTATATAATCCAAGATAAAATATACCAACATACTGATGGTTTCAAAGATGAAAATAGAATATTTGGCTTTACACCAGTGTTTACTAAGCTTGTAGTTCCGATTCATGGTATGATACCTGTGATGAGTAGGCGAATCACATAAAGCTGCTACATGGTAACGAAGAGAAGCATTAGTTCTGTCAAGATTGCAACTGTACACTACGTACTAGATAAATATAATACTAGTTACTAAATTGTGACTCATTAATATAGACTTGATTTTATAATAATGTATTTTTCAATGGTTAAGATCATGAATCCATTGTAGGTAGACCACCATGGAAAACCTGGAAGCACTGGACGGCCGTTTCGTCTTAGTATGGGACTCCTCGGCAGTGCGCATGCACGAACTCGCCCCCTGTGAGATCCGAACCCAGGACCTACTGGTATCGCGCGCAAGCACTTAACCACTACACCACTGAGCCGGCATCCAATGGTGTTGATGTCTAACTTCAACTAATCCACGAAATTGAGCAACACATCCATCATTGTCTTCAGTGAGTTACTATCTCACAACAGACGTGGTTGAACCCCACTTGTCACTACTTCTCACTAGAACTCCAGGATATACCTCTTGAAGTCGGTAACTAGTGAAGAGTCCCACAATAGGACGAAACGGTCGTCCAGTGCTCCCAGGTTTTCCACGGTGGTCTGGCTTGAACTAACTCATGATCTTAACCATTGAAATTACTATAATATCCACAAAATCCATATGATAATAATGTGTTTGACCTAGTAAAGTTTGCATTTCGTGAGATTGCCACTATGATGAAATATATTCAAATAAGTTCAAACTCAGTATTTTAGATTAAAGTTTAGATCCTGAGGACAAAAAATCCGGTGCCTTGTGTTAGTTGTTGTATGGTAAGCATCAGTATGTTACTAGTTTTCTCTTAAATATCAAGTGATGGTGCAGATATTACATTTTTCGGTAGTAGTTTCCAAGAATTAATCACTCAATGGGAAAACCTATCTTTCATGTGAATTAAATATGTTGTTGACTTTTGATTTATTTCAACAAGAGGAAAGAAATATCAAGTCGAAAATTACTTTTTAGTATCCTATACATCGGGAATAAGTTATCTCTTAATCTTCAGTGGGATATTCTAAATTGATCTCATTTCTGAGGTCATTCATTTTAAGGTCACCTGAACATATTTAGAATTGGACAGTTAACTATCCATTATATTACTTTTCAGAGATTTGGCTAGCATTCCAATAAAGGTCGTTTACTTTTTTAATGGATATTGTAATCACTTATTTAATCTACAGTTTTCATATTCAGATATGAAATCTATGGGAGTTTCTTCAAATTTGAAGATAATTTTTAGCATGAATTAACATTATCTAACTCCGCCTGGAGCCTCTCTAGATCCACTACCGGTCTCAAGCGTGGATAAAGGAGAAGGATTGGGCATACGATTAGCGACACCATCCCGTAGAAAAGTAACGCGCTAAAAAAACGCTAACAAGAAAAAATAACTATAACCATTTAAACTCTGCCCTTTGAGTTAGAAGGTCTTCATTTAGAAGAGTTATGACGTTTCATGATGAAAGCCGAGTCCCTTCGGTAATCATGAGGCTGATGCTTCTTCTGACAATCCGAGCAACCATTAATTTAGGTACATGAAATGATCGTATAATGTGGGAGACTTGGGAGTCATTCAAATTACTGCATAGATGAAAAGATGCAACCAAATTGCTTATTTACTTTTATTTTATTTTAACACATATATATATTGGTACAAGGAGGCACCAAATACATATGCGCCACACAGATGTCATTTGATATGTGTGAGGGTTGTGATACTGCTCGGGTGCCCAAACCGAAGCAGATGGTTTTCTTAGGGGGACACACCCGGAGCGTTCGACCTGAAGGTCTGATTCACAAGGCAATGGAGCATCGTAAGGAGATGCAGTCCCATGGTAGCCGATGACCAACAATTGGTTCATACGCCATTTGTTCCCTCATGATACTGGAGCCCATGTGCACTATTGGTTTGGGATCCGGTTAAAGCACCGTAAACAACATCCTTGCCACGTGAAGGCAGTGAGTAGGACTTCCCTGGCAGAGGCTATATATGCGTGGTCATGTGAGAGTATTTCGAGAGGGAGAGCGGACTCTCCCCACTCTCGGCCGTACTAGGGCATTTGGGTGCAACCAAATTGCTGCAGAACATTATCTAGAGGAAACTATTAAAAATCATGAATCATCGTATAACAGTTTAACTGTTAACTAATTACATCAATCAATGGTTTTTGGTCAACAACTAAAAAAATCTGGAGCAGATATTCATCACCACATCATATCAATACCAAGAGATGAAAGTATCAAGACAAAAAGTAGAGTAGTAGAATTAGTGACAGTACCAACTAAAGTCGATAACCTTTGGTATATACAATATGATTCAAGAAGAATGAATTTACAAAGAAAAATATGAAATAATTTTACAATTTACAATGAAAGAGAACAGAAAGAGTGAAAACATCTGTACGTTACATGTCTAATTTTGAGCTATATCATCCGAAGTCTTTCATTATTAATCTTAATAATCTTACGAATTTCGACCAGGTATTCTAAACCTACCTACACAGGTCAGTCCTGTTGTCAATGGTTTATGGAGTGATCTGATGTTCTGGTTTGACATCTTCTTTCCTGTTCACGTCCTACTCCTGCATCATCTGATAATTCTTGCGATTTTGAACGCTATACTCGATTCCTAAGCTATTCTGAAACCCCCAAGCTAGAACTATACAGCGACCTGAACACGAGAGAGAAGGCCCAAAAAATGCGAAAAGTACTTTACTCCAAGGTTCCTTTTTGTACAGAAAAGCATGTGTATTTATAGATATTAACATTTGTTAAATCAACATCATATTTTGGCCAATCCACTAAAAGATATATTATGCTACTGACCAATAGTAGCACGCCATGTTGGCATTCTAGAAAGCTCCATCGTGCTCTGATTGGCTAAGACTCCTTGGCTCATTCAGGGCCTCCGGAGGCTCTGTTGCAGTTCTCGGAAAGCCAACCTAACATCATCAGATATCGTACGTCAAACAAGGCGGTGGTTGATCATTAGTAACGTACATCTAGACCATTTCAGTTAAAGATTCATTACCACATCAATTGCTTTCTCATTTTTACCTAATACATTGAGTTTAATCTCAAGGTAGCTTATTTATTTAGACAATTAAATTGTGACTTAACGCTCTAAAAAACTCATTCATCGATAAGCTTGAAAGTTCTGGGTTTATATTCATATAGGGATTTTATCCAGATACTACTGAAGAATTTCGTAAAGCGGAAAAACACTTGTCCAATATTTATTCTTCTTTAATGGTACCTAAAATTATATCAGTCAATGGTGAGTACCATCCGAAAATACAGTTATTCTTCGTTACAATTCGGGACAATAATACATTTATCAAATTTAGTTTCTTAATAGAAAGTTCAACATAAATACTCCTGTGATGTGCGCTACTTATATTGATATAAGTAGTATGTGACGCGAGTTAAAACGTAATGTCTGGCAGTAAAA